CGACATGCTTTTTCGGGAAAATTTTTGGCACTTCCCGGTGCATTTCTCAACAACCTTCGCAGTGCTATTCCTACAAAATAAAAGAGAAAAAAGGCACAAGACACTAAAACGAAACGAAAACACAAAAATAAGCAAAAACGACTAAATGGTCTGGGGAAAACCTAAAATAAAATAAAATAAAATGAACACAAATACAACACATAAAACACACAAAAAAACAAAAACATACAAAATTTAGTAAAGTAACAAAAATTTTAATTTTTAAATATGGTAACATCGAACTCTCCAGCCGGCCCGAAACAACTAACTCGAACTCCTTCACGTCGATCGGACGCCGAGTACCTGAAAAGAACTCTCTCACACGGAAAAGGTTTCACGTGAAGAGCCTCTGATATTTAAGTTAGTCTCAAGCTCCACTCAATTTTCCAAGTGTATAATGGATAAATCGTATCTAAAACCATAAGAATCACCCCTATATATAGGGTGAGGTACATGTTCTAGAAGTTGTCCAGATTAGCTGAGCTGGCTGCCCAAGAACAGCCCGGCCAGCCTGGTAGTACAACACACATTAGAGTGTGTCAGAGATGGTTATACCATATAGACCAATCAGGTCGCGCCAAGCGTTCTCTGCATGTGGGGATTAGATTCGTCTATAGTCTCCCCGAAGGCTCTTATGCTAGACCAAAATTAGGTCAATCCGCTGACTGCTCCAAGTCTGGGAAGTGGTAGATCAGACGACCATTCGTGTCACATGTCGATCTTCGACCAGATTCTTCTTGATCTTGGAACCGACCGGCCCCTTACAGACTCTTGTCTCGGAGATGCTTGACCACGACCACCCTGTCCCGAATCTGCTTGACCGGAGCGGTTTATTCAGTTTGTTTGACTTGCTGATTAGAAATGTTTATTCATTTAGGCATAATATCACATATCAAAATCTATATATTAAATTATTGTGATCCAACAAATTTTACACTATTTTCAAACATTGAATTTTCATTAAACAAATAAATATATAATTTATAATTATTTTATTTTTGTAATTAATTTGTGGGAGTTTTGACATAATTACAAATACATTTCAATTTAGATATCCCATGTGTATTAAAAAATGTAAATTATTTTTCAAAAGCTTTAATTTTTAATATGAAATACAAAACTTCTATATAATGTAATAATATTCGGCTAAAAAAAAAAATAGATTTATGTATAGACTTCCTCCATCAATATATACTAGTTTTACCCCGTGCATATGCACGAATAGTGATGTAATAAAAAATAAAGTAATTAACAATATAGAATACAATAAAATTCATAACTTAATAAATGAAAAAAAAAAAAAGATAATTTAAGAAAATTAATCCAAAATTTATTAAACACTTTTTTACATACACATTTGTGGTTCTACTATCATCAGAATTCTCATCACAATAAATCATTATCGTTAAACCCCTTCGACTCGTGACTCTGGGATTTGATTTTTCAAAATATTTGATGGATTTTTGTAATATCCAAAAAATATATATTTTTTTACTATTGTATGACTGCAATAGAAAATAGAGATATTTGTAGTCATTCTTAATTTATTGTGAAATATGTATTTATATAATACCAAAAAAAATATATATATATAGTATCAAAATAAAAATATTTTGTATTTCAGGACATAAAAAAGCGGGTACGATCCAAAACGGTACCTATCAAAATTAATTTTGTAACTGAAAATTACATATATTATAGCGAACATGTTTTTATTAAATGAACACCTATTTTTATTAAATGAATTTATATTATTATTAATTGTTGGCCGAATAAATTTTTGTTAAGCTTGCCAGCAATTATATAGATATAGATAGACATATTGGCATATTACAAATCTATATGTATAAAATAAAAATAAGGTTAATTCACTTTTAGAAAGCATTTTATGTAAAAATACATTAATTACTTACTATAGATGGAAATTATAGAATACTATTTAAATAAAAAAATAAATCATTAACTGCATAGTTTCGATAAAACTCGGCTTTCAGTTTGTGTTTGTTTTAGTCAATTATTGTTCTCCTTTAATTACGTTGACAATTGCTTTGTAGGCAAATATTATGTAAATAATTAGCAAATATTGGAATCTTCATTTATGGAGGATTCATTTTTTTTTTAACAAATTTATTCGAATCTTTGATTTGGATATCCATCCCCTATATATAATTCTCGAATGTGCTGAACTTAAGTGGCAGGCTCGCATGCTTCGGGATCCTATGTGTCAAAATTTCATGCTTTGTTATTTGGGTTGAATAGATTTTAATTTAATTCAAATCCAAAAATAATTAGATTCGTATTACCATAAATATGTTGATTTATTGATGATCATTTTAGATGTATTAATTGTATTTTAATATCATTTTCTATTATAACTATTGAATTGTAAATGTATTTTAAAAGTTGATAATTTTTGTATTTTTATCGGTTTCATATATATAATATATCAAATTAATCATCTTTTGATGAGTTTCGATATGACATCCATATTGTATATATAAAATAAATAAATTATATTTATATTCATAATAATAAAAATAATATTTATTAAAATTAATTAGAAAAATAAAATTATTTTCTCAATTAATATATTTATGTTTAATGTATATGCTATAAGTTAGAAAAATTATTATAATATAACACAGGTAAGTCGCACAAGTGCAAAATGTCATACTAAAATATATATAATATATATTTTTTTATAAAAAGTATTTAAATTTTCAACTACTTTTTCTCATTACTTTTAAATTTTAAGATAATAAAATTAGCAAGCACTCGTGTAATACACATGCATTGTACTAGTATATATTATATACAAAAAAATAAAATTTTATAATAATATTTAAATTTATATGACGCTAATTTTTGAATTCTCTATGGATGATTCTTTTTTATTTTTTCATATTTATTAGAATTAATTATTTAGATTGACATCATATACACAAAATACAATATATATATATATATAATAAGAATTACCAGTTAACAAGAATAGTAGCAGAAAAATAGGAGAGAATTTAATGTTGCCTATAAATA